TTAATACTGTGGTTTCAGAAAGAGTAGTAACTAACTTGACAGTTCTCAAGATTCTAAAATAAAAAACAATTCAATGAGTTTATAGAAATTGGTGAAATCCCATCAAAGCCAAGTATTGGCATACAGGGAGCCACAAAGAATTTTTTTTTTGCCTTTAAGTCCAAGTAAAAATTGTAATAAATAAATAAAAAGCTTTATGATAAATTTTTAATTTCAGTTTTTTAAACAAAGCTTTACCTGTTTAAAAAGGTTCATTTTAAAAATTCTTAACAGCTAAGTATTAGAAGAATTCCCTAATGATGATTCTTTTACAAAAAGTAATTTTAACAACATGAAAGGTAAATGCACAGTAAGAACTCAAGAAATAGCCTTTAAAGGTTGCAGTCTTCCTAACTGATGCCTAAGCTAAAGAAAATTATTTTTTAGAAACATCTATCATAAACTGTCTATGTTGAGCCTAAACACTACTGAAAATAAGAGTCAAAAGATTTAAAGGAGACCACTACACATATAATAAGTGGCCAAAGTTTTAATAACTGACAATACCAAGTGCTGACAAACATGTGAAGCAACTGACACTTTCAGACATTGCCACAGGAACGTAAAATGATATCATCATTTAGGAAAACAATTTAGCAGTTTGATAAAAAAAGTTTACTGATATTAATAAATATACACTTATAGGACCAACAATATCCTACTCCTAGGTATTAACTCAAGAAAACCTAAAATTTTTGTCCCTCACATAGACCTGTATGCAAATGTTACAGCAGCTTTATTCATATTTGACCAAAACTAGAAACGACTCAAATGTCCATCAGTTTATGGACGGATGAACAAATTGTGTTACTTGATATAAAGCAATGCTACTGAACAAAAAAAGGAACTGTGCTGGAGCTGGCTGGTACCAGCTCATGGGAGCCCATTGTTAAATTTTCAGGAATTCTATGAGCTGGTAGCTTAACATAGGCCATAGTGAGAGTGTTTACACTACAATGATTAGGAAATGCTACAAATAGAGGATTCTTTTTTTTTTTTCCTGAAGAGCATATTGTTAAAACATTTCCCAGCACATCACTGAAGAAACTACTGATAGATGTACCAACTTAATAAATACCAAGCATTATGCTAAGTGAAAGGAAACACAAAAGGCTACATAATGTATAATTCCATTTACATATGCTAAAAGAGATAAAACTTTAAGAGCATCAATTAATGGTTTTCAGGGGTTGGGATGTGTAGAGGGAGCTCATGATTAGCAGCAGGAGTGAACTTTTTAGAGTAATGGAAACGTCTTTTTCTATGTCTTGATTGTGGTGGAGACTATTCCATTATAGAGATGTGTTAAAACATTTACTACATTTAAATTATGCTTCAATAAACAAAAAAACTAAAGTAAGAGCCATTTATTTCTTAATTATTTCATGGATAACAAATACATCACACACAAAGGGGGAACTGGATTTATCAGGGTAAATATCAGGAAGGCAGATTTTGACTCGACATAAATAGAAATAAAGATTTAAAATGTGAAAAAAAAAAAAAAAAGGCCGTCACAGTGGCTCACGCCTGTAATCCCAGCATTTTGGCGGACTGAGGCAGGCGGATCACTTGAGCTCAGAAGTTTGAACTGAGCTTGGCCAACAGGGTAAAATCCTGTCTCCACTAAAAATACGAAAATTAGCCAGGCATGGTGGCAAGTGTCTACAGTCCCAGCTCCTAGTGCGACTGAGGCACAAGAATCACTTGAAACCAGAAGGCAGAGGTTACAGTGAGCGCAGATCACACCACTGAACTCCGGCTGCAGCGGACACAACAAGACCCAGTCTCAAAGGAAAAAAAAAAAAACAGTGGGGAAAACTGCAATCATAGGAAATTCTAAAAATCAGAAGTGGACAATCCTGCCAAGGATGCTGTAGAAATGACCCTACGTCAGGTATGATTTCAGACTAGTGTCATTAACAGAAGTTAGTATCAAGATCTCTTCATACTGGGAGTTCAGAGCTCCAAAATCTCATGATATTGTATGCTCTGATAATCTCAGATATACTTTGCAATTCTAACTAAAACATCAATTACTTATTTTAACATCAATTGAATTGTATCACCAATCAAAGTCTAGCATAACCTAGTTATGAATGTTGGCTCTGACTTCAGACAACCTGGGTTCACATGTTGGCCCACCAGTGTTTGTATGACTTTAAAACAACTTGTTCTATTTCCCATCTGTAAAATGGGATTAATATTTTCATTTGGTTTGAATAAGAATGTATTAGAAACAATGTTTATGTGCTAAACTCTTAATCACAAACATTTCTTGGGCATAATCAGAAATGAAGAACGTAATTCATCAAATGTAATCTTAAGAATTTTACCTTTCCGAATATGGAATACTTATAATTTAATTTTACACCTAGAAGTTCACAATCTTTTACAGAGCTAGATCCTTTTGAGAATGTGATCACCACACAGACCCTTTATCTAGAAAAAATGCAAATATACGCTATATTGTGCTTATGATTTCTGGGGAGCCAAGGACCCTCAGAAGCATATGCATGAAATTGAGAAAGAAGCAGGGCATGATAGCTCACACCTGTAATTCCAGCACTCAGGGCATCTAAGGCAGAATAATTGCTTGAGGCCAGGAGTTCAAGATCAGCCTGGGCAACACAGGGAGACCCTCATCTCTACAAAAATTAGACAGGCATGGTAGCATGCACATGTAGTCGTAACTACTTGGGAGGCTGTGGAGGAAGGATCACTTGGGCCCAGAAGTTCAAGGCTGCAGTGAACCGTAATCATGCCACTACACCCTAGCCTGGGCAACAGGGCACGACTCTGTGTTGGAAAGAAAAAAAGAGAGAAAGAAAGAGAGAGATTGAGGGGGGGTGGGGGGGATTAAGAACACCTGATGTGAACTTTTAAAATTGCAAAATTGAGCAGTGAAATTTAAGAATCTCTTCAAAGTAGAGAATCCAACTAATACTGAAATATTATATTGTCATTTATTTTTTAAAAACAGATTTTGCAAGAGTAGGACATTGTGTTTTCTAATTTATTCATACTTTTTGGAGGTGATATAAATTTTAAGTTACAACTATTTTTTTCTTTAAAAAAATTTTTTTTGGTAGAGTCAGGGTGCTGTATGTTGCCCAGGCTGGTCTCTAAATCTTGGCCTCAAGTGGTCCTCCGGCCTTTGCCTCCCAAAGTGCTTGGATGACAGGCATGACCCACTGTGCCCAACCAAAAGCATGCACATAATTCAGATGAACTCATTTTAACTTATGGAAATAAACTGGTAGTAGAAACCTATCTTTCTAGCAGCTTGAGACACAATGGTTCAAAGTGTTAACATACTCCACTAATGCTCAAATATCATAGGAAGAGTTCTCAATTCTAATGTAATACACACACACACACACACACACACGCACATACATATATATATACCTTTTTTTTTTTTTTTGAGACAGAGTTTCGCTCTTGTTACCCAGGCTGGAGTGCAATGGCACGATCATGGCTCAACACAGCCTCCGCCTCCTGGGTTCAAGCAATTCTCCTGCCTCAGCCTCCCGAGTAGCTAGGACTACAGGCGGGCGCCACCATGCCCAGCTAATTTTTGTATTTTTAGTAGAGACGGGATTTCACCTTGTTGACCAGAACGGTCTCGATTTCTGCACCTCGTGATCCACCCGCCTCGGACTCCCAAAGTGCTAGGATTATAGGCTTCAGCCACCATGCCCAGTCTGTATATATATTTTTAAACATAAAAACACATCTATCTAATTCCTATATTTAAGAGTCTCATGATAAAAGTTTTATTTTTCTTTTTTAAAGTGGGATTTATTTTTCACCAGACTTATGCACTAATACAACATCTGGTTTTCTATAAATTAGCGTGTCCTTGGTTCTGTTTTATGTCATGTTTGTTATGTCGCCTAACAGTGAAAACTAATTGTTCCCAACCTGCCACCAAATACCAACCTGGAAATATGCCACTATTTCAAAAAGCCCAAAGAATAGGGTTTTGTTTTTCCTTTTTAATTGTTTGGTTTTTAAACTACATAGTAAACCGGTTGGCAACCATTACTGAACAAAAATAGTTTTTCGTATGCATGAGCACCATTTTCCCACAGAAAATAACCAATTTTAAGGTACTGGAAGTCCATGCAAGGGTTCACATATACAGTAAACACCCTTTCAATCTGGTTTTATCACATTATTTCTGTGAAAGAAAGACCTGATACTGCAGATCTCAGAATTATATGGTAAAAATCAATGAAACGCTGCACCTGAGGCTCAAACACTAGCCAGAAGGCCTTTGGTCAGAAAGGTCACATCTGCTTTATAAATCCCGCCGTAACTGTGAATGTTTGCGATTCACCACATCCCCAGCACAAGAGAACTGGTGCATCTCTGGTTCCTTCCATAATCTAACGGCTTCCAGCATAGGGCGTAGTGGGAGAGGCCCGCAGCCCTGGAGACAGCGCCGGAGGGATGGAGGCCGCTCCGCTGCGCCCAGGTGCGGAGGGCTCCAGGAGCCGAGACCCCGCGGGATGCAACGGGCTTGGGGGACAGTGCCTGATCCCCTACCCCTGGGCGCCAGGGCCGCCAAGTTACGCCCCCACTGCTTCCTAGAGGTAATGTCCAGCCTACTCCTCCCCCATCTCCCAAAATAGCCCGGTTCCGCTCCCCTCCGCCTGCCGTCCGTGACCCCGACCCCGACCCCGACCCGACCGCGACGGCGCCCTCCCCAGGCCGCAGCGGAGGACTCGGGCCAGGCCGCCAACCCTGGCGGCCGCGGCGGCTCCAGGCCAAGGCGGACCCTAGGGAGGACAGCAGCTGGGCCGCGGCCTGTCCCTAGGGGGAGCGGGTACAGGGCCGCCAGTGGGCAGCGCCTCCGCCCCGCACGAACAAAGCGATCAGGCGCGCCGGCCCGAGGCAGCGCCGCCTCTCCCGGAGCACCGGGGGCGGGGAGGATGGCGGGGGCACTCACCTGAGGGCCGGCGGAGGGCGCGGGCGGGCCGGGCCCGGGATCCCGGACCGCGCCGAGGACGCGCGGTTTACGGGAAAGAGGCGACCGGCGTGGCGTCCACGGTGGGGCCCGGGAGCCCCGCGGCGCGGGCCGGGGGCCGGGGCCCGGTTCGATTCTGCGACCGCGAGGTGCGGGAACCGGTCCGCCGGGCCAGGCAGCGGTGCTAGGCGGCTGGGGCAGCGAAGCCGCCGCCTTTCCCTTCTCCTGCCCCCGTCCTTGCTCCGCAGCGTCCTCGTCCTCGTTGGGTCCCCGCCGCCGCCGCCGCCGCCGCCTCAGCCTCGGCGCTCTTCGGGCTTCTTCTCTCCATCAAGGCCGGGCCGACCCGCAGGGACCATCCCGGGAAGTGAGGGGTTGTTGCCGTTTCCCGCAGCTGTTGGTGGCCATCTTTAATCCTCCTCCTCCTCCTGCTTTCTCCACCTCCCGCTGGCTGCCTGACTGACTGACTCTGGATCCTCCTCTTTCCCCTCCTGCTCCTCCTACTGAGCCGGCCGCAGAAATTGCAGCCGCTCTGCCTCTCCCCCCCCCACCCCTCCTGCCTTTCCTTCCTCTTTCCTTACTTCCTTCCCTTCCCTCGGCTTCCCGCTTTCCCCTCACTCTCAGCGGCTGCCTTCGCCCTCGTCTTCAGGCAGCGCCTCTGGATGCTCCCAGCTGGACTTCAGCCCCGCTCCCCTCAGTCCCTCTCCCCACTGCCTTTCAGACGCGCCCCTTCACCGCCCCGCGCCCTGCTCCCCTCTCCCACCCCCCACCCCTGCCCCTCTCCGCGCTGCTCACCCTCCTCAGTCCCAGTTTCTCAAAGGACTCAGCTGAGAAAGGACAACTGGGTTCTTCAGCTATCCTTATCCCTACACCCTTTTGCTGGATGCTGTCAAAGGCGATGGAGAAACGCAAAGCTGCGTTAGTTTTACTCTAGCTGGAGTATAAAAGAACTGCCCACGCCAGCTATTTTACTACGCAGCCTCGAAACTCCTGCACAGTCACCTGTGTGGCTCTGGTCCATGATGGGACCGGAGTTGAGGAGCTAGGTCTCCAGAGGTGCCTTCTGTCAGTGACCTTCAATCGGTTCCATAAGATTTTAGGTTTTCGCTTTCCTTCCTGGAAGGGGCATAATTTATACCTTTGCAGTCCCAACAAACAGTATTTAGACCAAATAAGTATCCTTTAGTAAACCTAGAACTGCTTAGTGATCAGCAGTTTGCTAGTTTGTTCCTATACAACACAGTAGACAATTTGGGTCACGCTTCAGTTCTGGCAGTGAAGACAAACTGAGTCAGCAGTTAGGAGTGGACTCCCTTAAACAACAGGGTTAGAGTGGGGAAGTGGTCATAACATCGCTCTAAGGACAAACTTGTTTTTCCTAACACTGCAATCTAGGGAAGTTTCAGGATTTCCTCTAATAAAGATAAAGCAAGTTGGATTTGCTCTTTTCTTCTTTTGGTCGATTTTGCTTTAAGTGGGATAAACCCTTTGTGCAGAGGCCAGGTGGAAATGGACTCATTTGTAATGATTTACTCGCCAATTGGATTGTAATTATTCCAAGGTAACAAATTTGTAGGTAACACTGCTAACAAATGCAGATGACATATGTGAGTGCTCTGGGGGAGAGTCACAGTTTTTGCTTGTGGAGCACTAGCTATTTAAAATTTTTTTAAAAAGCACTTTGCCCTTTCAAAATAACACTAGTGTGTTCAAAGGTTAGTCTCTTCAACAGACCAAATGTGGGCAGAAATGTTTTTAAATGTAGTTTTAGATTTTACTTCAAAATGAGTAATGTTTTAAAAGTTCAAATACAAGATTTTGTCATTATAAAAATGTAAGAGTTTCAAATCCCTTCGAAAAGAATATGCCAAAACAAACCTAAAAATATATTTTAGTAAAAATACTAGTATTCTTTGTTGGGGGTGGGGAGCTGAATTCTAATATTTTTCTTTAATCTTCACGAAGTAACCTAAATTAACCCAATTAGGTTCAAGATTTCAGCTGCCATCTTTCAATGCCAGTAATTTTTCCATTTGAAATCAACAAACCTATGTTTAATAAAGTATTTGAGACAGCATTGTACAATACATTTTGGAATAAATTATTAAAAACAAAGCACCTATATGGGGGTGTGTGTGTGCACGTACATGTGCTTTGTCGTTCTTTTCTTTTGGCCTTTTGGTGTTTATTCTTTATTTAGAATTTGTGTCTTCCAGTATATTTCTAGAAAAAAATACCACAAAATTCTTGACTCTGAACTATTCACTTATAAAACTATATAATAATTGGAGAAAAAAGAACGTTAGATACCATGAATATACACTGAGAAAATAGGCTGACTTCTTTTCAACATTAAGACCATCACACATTTTTAAAGGAAGATTTTCAATTCGAGGCTTCAGGACTCCTGTCATTGTGATTTTATTTACACTGAGGGAAGAAGAGTTACATTTTAACATGTCTTACTCCTATAATTATAAATATTTTTCTTTTAAATAATTGCAATAAAGTTCACAAATCTATCACTATGCAAATGCAGCAATTTTCTTATTAACGTCTTACAAACTGAAAATCTCGCAAAGGTTTTTCAGTGATAGACGTAAAAATAAATATACCAAGTTTTTTTTTTCTTTTTTACTGAAGCCACATAAACATACATACAGTAATAATGGGAAAATCAGACCCTTCACATTTACTTTTTTACAGCCCTGTCATCATTACACCCTTACCTTTAGTCTTTGTTGCCAGCTAAGTGTAGTTTCACTGTCATCTTAGGAATCAAGTATGAAAAGAAGATGGTCAAATCAGGTTTTCCTATAACGTGATTATCGTTTCATATGTATTCACTCTCAGATAAAGTCAAGGTCCTCTATAAAACAAAGAATTGTGTTAAAGTGGGATAAACCCTTTGTGCAGAGGCCAGATGGAAAGAGATCTAGGCATGTGCAGCAAACTCCTCTGGGAATAGAGGAGCAAGCATGAAGGGCTATTTCTAAACAGTTCTGCACTGGGAGGCTGGTCTCCAACTTACAATTCATGAATAAGGTGATTGTGGAGAATAATAACCAAGAGGCTATCTGTGACAATAAGCAAACAGAAGCCATATTTGCTTTTAGCATGATTGAAAATGACTGAAGCATAATTTTAAATGAGGGAAATTGGAGATAAAACGTTCATGAAAAATATCTAAAAGTAAGAGGATTTGCTATTTAAACAATTATTTTCTTTATGTTTTCTTTTAAAACTATACAAGAAATAATTTAAACTTGGTCAGGTAGAATTATCCCAGAGATGAGCATATGTAAATTATAAAATTTTAAGATGTTTATTCCAGAACATAGAGTGCTAAATGATGCTGGGACACAAAAATCAAAGGGAATGGAAGTGTTAATTGACATATTTTAAAATTACTGAATTACTGTATTACATATATTAACTATATATTTCCATTTTTCCAGGCTACTAGACACAACAATAGAATTATCATATTGTTTTTCCTGGTTCGAAAGGACCAGATGGAAAAGAAACTGGGCAAACCAATGAACGTCTCTGGGGATTATGGGAATTGAATGTCTATAGAAACCATAGTCCCAGACAAGAACATAGTCTTAGGTAAATGTTCTCATAGTCTCAATTCTTTAGAAAAGATAATATTTCTGTTCCACATCTTCCTCTTTAGGTAGACTGTCTAAAATATCAAGTGAATAATGACAAGCCATAGTTATCTGAACTGATTGAAATATAGTATCATTCTTCACTCCTCAATTTAGAGAACTACTTATAATTAACTGATGAGCTGTCCCTGAGACAGTGCCATTTATAGTCATTACTGCACTGTAATTGGGGAGAAATGCTTTTAGAAAGTTCCAATTAGAGACTTTTTCAGTTGTTTTCTTATAAATACATTCAAAAGAGGTACTGGAGAGTTTGTTTTGTTTTGGGAAGGGGCATATGTGTAGCTCTATGTATTGTTTCTCTTTATACTTAAGTAATATGTAATAAAGCTTCTTTAAACATTAAAGAGCAATAGGCTCACAGGAGGAAACAGGATAGTATCATGTGTTGCCCTTGTTCATCATAATTATCAGCATTATAATAGAGACAGGGGGTTTTGAAGATTTTTATTATTAATAAATTTTATTTTTACTTAAAGTTGAAGGTCTTCTTCATTTTCAATCTTTTTGTTTCTCTATGGAGCATTCAGACTTTTAAAACCAGTATCTTTACAATGTTTTTATACCATAAATACAGTTGACCCTTGAACAATTCAGGTTTAAACTATGCAAGTCCACTTCTATGTTAATTTCTGCTCCGTCAGCCACCCCTGAAACATCAAAACCAACTCTTTCTCTTCTTCCCCCTTCTGAGCTTATTCAATCTGAAGATGATGAGTATGAAAACCCTTATGATGATCCTCCTCCACTTAATGAGTAATAAATACACTTTATGATTTTCTCAATAGCATTTTATTTTCTTTGGCTTACTTTATTGTAAGGATAACTATCTAATACATATACAAAATATATGTGAATTGACTTTATATTATTAGTAAGGCTTCTGGTCAACAGTAGACTATTAGTAGTTAAGTTTTTGGGAATTCAAATGTTACTCACTGCACAGAGGCCAGGGAGGGCATCAGCCCTTCTAACTCTGGCGTTGTTCAAGGGTCAACTCTAAGTAGTATACACATCAAACGTACTTCACTCATTAAAAATTCTGGTGAAAAATTATTCAAATGTCTCACTATAGATCATCTTGTCAAAGCTCTGTAGCAATTTCAATGAAATCCAGGTCTCCTGACTCAGTCTCAAGTCCCATAACTTCAGGGTTCATCTTAGAGGAGAGAAACTCAACCAAAGAAACTTTTAACTGTGCCATATTCAGTTAAACATCATTTAAACTTAATTTCCAGAATTAATGTTCAGCATTGACCTTTCTTAGAGATAAAGCCAAGGAATCAAGTAAAATTAACAGGGTTTTCCTGTTTTCAAAAGAGAACAATTGTTTGCAATTAACAAGGTAAAAAGCAAATTTAAGGAGTTTAAGAAAGCTCAAGTTAACTAAAAAATGTGTGATTTTTTTGAAACCTAAAACAATCCCTATCCTAGAACACTTATTTATGGTTCAAAAAGTATAAAGTTAACTCAAAAATACTGTGTTATTTCACGGATTAAGTTAAAATTGAGTGTTGCAAGACTCAGGAAACAAAACCTCAGTTAGCTAAATAAAGTAAAATACTGCCATCTGCTGACTAGAATCAAAAATGTGTTGGTCTTTTGCACATCTGTAACTAGCGAAAGGCCTCTGCTAATTTATTCCATAAGTCTTTAAAGCATTCTAAAAAGCACTATGCTGGGTGATACAAAATTGCTCAGTCTCCTAGATGGACACTTAGGACTATATCCTACGCCACTATATTAGTTGGAGTTCTCCAGAGAGACCAAATCAATAGAATATATAGAT